GAAAGTTCATCACCAGGTTGGGTGTTCCTGTCACTCTGAGCCTCTAGAGAGAGCAGCCAACCATGGGGGCACATGGTGGAGCGAGCAGCGGGCCTACTTTACGAGTCAGGAAAACTGAGAGGCCAGGTGGATTCCTGCTTTTGAGATACACCCCAGTGACCCGAGGAGAGGACTGCTTCCGAGACTCTGCTTCCTGAAGGCCCCACCTCCTCTCGGCATTACACTGGAGACAGGGGTCGGATCAGCTGGGGGGTATCACCCACACTAAAAACACAGCTAGTTAGGGGAGTAGAAATAGGAGAGCTACGGAATCCAAAGCAGTCAGCGACCAGAGCTAAAAGAGGCTGTGCATTCTTGTTCTGTTCCTCTTGAGCCGAGGTGATTTTTCCACAGCCAGGGGAGGAGCCGGCAGGGTTATGTTTTTCTCGGTATTGGCAGCATTGCCTTGGTTTGGTTCCATCTTACTGGGTGTAGAATGATGCTGCTTGATCTTATCGAGGTTCTATAAGTACATGGAGGGAAGCTAATTTTGGGGCAGATGTGTTTGTTCAAGTAACAAACTTTACTGGTTCTGGGGTGCCCTGTTGGCACCATAACACAGTTAATGGAGCAGAGTACGTGCCACGGGATTTCGATTTGGTGTCTGGATGCCCGCAGGGCTGCAGAAATACCGCAACAGGAATGCAGATGTGCCTAGAAAGGTGACAGGGTGAGATCCCAGCAAGGCACTCTAGTAGTGGGTGTTGGATCTGGCCTGCAGGAGGAAGGCTTCCTGGGGTGAAAGAGGGAGAGAGAGAGTCTCTCATTTTGCTCCAGGGCTGGGCATTGGAGCCATTTGATTACAGCTAGGATTGGGTGAGGTCCTGGGGAGGGGGCACTGATGATGCAGCTGGTGCTGGGGTGTGTAATTGCATGCTGAAGGCCCTGAGGAACAGGGTTATTGTTGCCTGGCTTTTTTTTTTTTTTAATGGGCAAGGAATTGAAAATCTTGCAGTTGGTAAAACAAAGCTGTTTTCCCCTTTATGAGACTGAGAATATAAGGGATCACATAGCGTTCCTTTTGCTTATTTCTTCATTAGCATACATTATCATGCATAGTCTCTGATTTCTCAGTACTTGAATTCAGGGTGCACTGACCAAATCCAACCTTCTAGTTGCCCCTTCACGACTGCTGGCTGATTAGCCACTCTCTGCATCCGGCTCTCAGCAGTGGTTCCGGTGTGTGTTTTCTTGACCAGCAGCATCCAGTCACTGGGAACCTGTGCAGACCTACAGAAAAGCGGGCTTGGGTGAGGAGAGTAAGAAGCTCCAGGTCATCCTAACAGTAGGGCTGCTGTTGTGGAGAATGAGTGGCTGGGGACCAGCAAAAGAAAGAGGCCAGCACTGACTTGAGAGGCCTCGTGGATTTCTACCTGGCAAGTGTTTAGTGACAGGTGCAGCCCATGGCTCGGTGGATGTGGATCTTGGCTCTCGCCGTCTCAGGTCCCATCAGGTTGATATTAATAGTCTCTAAGTTTCCGTTCCAGGTTTGTTCCCGCGTGTAGCCGGCGAGCTCTTCCTCCCAGCCGCTGCTGCTTTGATAGTGACTGTCAGCTTAGTTGTCTGTGGTGCTGTTGATTTGCCATGCACAAATCCAATTTATTTAATAACGTTTAGAAGTATTCTCCTTTACCAAAAATGCTGCTAAAATTACAGGCAGTTTCTTGCAATTCCGCATTCACTTCCCCTGCAGTAAATATGTAAATGACTTAAAGCCATAACTCTGCAGTTTTTCTCCCTTTACTCCACTCACTGAACAGATACTCTTTGTCAAATTAGGGAAGAGAGACATTTTGTAACAATGCTTATCGAACTGTTGAGGAATATAGAAGGAGGAGGAGGAGGCTGACTGTTTTAGTCAGGGTTCCTATTGCTATGAAGAAACACCACCACTGAAAAGCAAGCTGGAGAGGAAAGGGTTTATTAGGCTTCCCCAGTGTGGCCCATCTCTGAAGGAATTCAGGACAGGAACACAAGCAGAGCTGGACCCTGAAGGCAGGAGCTGAAGCAGAGCCCATGAAGGGGTGCTGCTTATGGACTTGCTTCCCCTGGCTTACTCAGAGGACATTTTTATAGAACCCTGGCCCCCAGCCCAGGAATGGCCCCACCCACCATGGTCCGGACCCTCCCCCATCAATCCCAAATTAAGAAAATGCCCTACAGGCTTGCCTGCTGCTCCTGGAGGCATTTTCTTTCTTTTGTTCTTCCTTCTTTGTATTTATTCATTGTGTCTTTCACATCATACATTTCTAGCCCAATCATTTCCATGTCCGTTTGTTTTCACCCTCTCCACCCCAAAATAAGATAAAATTTGAGAGAAAAAAGAAAAATAAACAAAAAAGGGATCTCATCATGGAAACTGTAGCATGATACAGTGATACAGTGAACCTTTTTGTCCATATGTCTTACTTGCAGGTGTTCATTGCAAAGAATCCTTGGTCTGGTTCGAGGCCTCTGGTTTCTGCCACACTATCAATACTGGGCCCTCACTGGAACAACTCATGGATATCCTGCTGTTGCCCTGTGCTGTGGAGATCCTGCAGCTTTGGGTTTGGAGGGCCAGTCGCTTCATGTGCTCCAGCAGATCACCGACGGGGTGGATGTTGGGCTGGGTCAACTCATAACCCTGGTTCTGGGATTGGGTAATTGAGACTCCCCTCTTTCAGATGACTATAATGTGTGTAAAACTATCCAGCACATTAACCACATACGGTGTATGGTCATGGTTGGGATTAGTCTGCAAGGAATAACCGGATGTGTAGTATTTAGGCTGGCCCTGATTGAATGGCTGTGATTCTTACATCAGTTAATTGATAACTGTCTTGTAGTTTCTAACGAGGTTCTCAGGAGCACCTCGGCACTGGTTGTATTGGAGATGGCTGGGATTATAAAGAGGATGACCCGGGAGTGAGGGAGCAGATTTCTACACTGGTTCTGTGTAATTCCAGAAAATGTGGCGTGGATGTCTCAGCAATTGTGTGTGTGTGTGCACAGGTGTGCGTGCCTGATGGATGGCAAGATCTTTTTCATAAGCAGAGAACTGATATGCAGAGGTGTGCTGGCTCCCCAGGATGATAGAAGCTGAGACACACCCCCCATCTCGAAACCATACCAGACCAGGGTCTCCTAAGTGTGGTGGCCCTGTGCGTCAGTCGATTGTGGCATGGTCTTGTGGCCCTGTAAAGTGTTTCTTATCATTCTCATACCTTCCAAACAAAGAAGCTTCCAGAATAGATACCTGTTTGTTTCAAATGTTGTTTGATAATATAGTGTTATGATAAAATGGTAACAGTTATCCGAAGGCCGTCTTTAAGTCTGTCCTAGGCAACCAGGACACAGGTTGGTTGGTTCGGTGTTCCTGTTACCTTCTTCACCCTGTCTCCTATCGAGAGACCGTGAAACCTTGAGTCATTGACTCTTCAGAGGGTTTAAATGCTTTATTTGCTCATAAAGACTTAAGATGGAGAAGCCGCTTTGAAAGGCTGCTGCTTGCTCTAGATTCTGCTTGCTCTGAATTCCCCTTATTAATTAGAGCTCCAATGAATTCTATAAACTGCTAATCTTAGAACCGTTTTTTAAAAAGGACATTAAAATTGGGACTATTTCATTTCCCAGAAGGGAACATTGGATGTGGGATTTCATGGTCTCTGTCCAGTACCTGTTTTGAGGTAACCCCCTCCCCCATTCCTCCTCTCTTTCCTTCCCTCCCATTTCTTTCCTTCAATGTCCCACAGCCCTCTCTTGTCTTCCAGTGAAATATTTTTTTGTGCTCTGGCTTTATTTTTGCTGTTGGAAGGGTTATTCCTGGGATGATAGTGTTGTGACTCAGGATTCTAGAGAATTTCTTGTCATTCATGATTTGTCTTTCTTCAGACAACTTGCCTAAATAGTCTCGCAGGCTTTTGATTAAAATTCTGAAGGACCAAAGGAAGCTGGCTTTGGGCTTGGGGCCACATGTGGGCTTCTTGCTGAATGACTAGGTGTTAAAGTTGAGGCTCTGACATCCTAGTCCTAAAAAAGCCACGCAGTAGGTGGGGTGGTTGGTGTGTTGCCCTGTGCGATGTCCAGCTGCGTTGTCTTTCGGAGCTGAAAGCTGTAAGAGATAGGGACCACCTAGCAGGGACTCCATCCCTAGTAGGAAGGGCTGCAGGGTCGCCAGGAGCGCTGCCCCGCCTGAGTGATTAGCAGCATGTGGCCATGAGGAAGGGACCTCTAAAAATAGCTGCTGAGCAGTCAGGTCGAGTTTCAGCTCTGGAGCCCTTGGCCAGGACTGGTAGTGCAGTTCTAGCAGGAAAGGGCACGCTGGGTGGCCCACACCTCCTGGGAGCACCTCAGTTTTGTCCCTTCAGTGTGTTTTATGCACGGATTGAAGAAATCGGAATGGCTGAGGATAAAGGTATATGTCTATTGTTTGGATCGAAAGGGGGTTTAGAACTAGCTGACGCTGTTCTTGCTTATTTTCAAGGGGGCTCTGTTCATCTGTTCAGATGTTTTTGGCTAAGTGCTTTGTGCCTCCTGCATTGTCTTTCCTGAATTTCTGGAACAGTCGGCTTTTCCCAATGGCTGGGTTTTAAGGGAGTAATCTGTCTTTAATCTAAATAGGTTTTGCTGTACTAACTTAGACTCTCGATATAGTCTTCTACCACAAATCACATTTTATAGGCTTCTAGAGTCTGATATGTCTGTCACAGTGGACCTAATGAATTGTGTGTTCAGATTTCTTGTAAAAATATGGTAAACAAGGGATATGTAAGTCTCATATTAGTGAGCATGCTTGGTTCGAGCAGCCTTACCTTATATGGAAATTGACCTACTTCATGTGAAGCAGAGGGTAAATGAAAAACAAAATAGAAGGCACTAGAATTTTGTTTCTTAAATTGATGCTTTCATTTTCTTAATGTGTCAAATTTGTTTTTTTTGTGTGTGTGTATCTTTTTCTCATTATAAGCAAAGATCATCTTTTTGTTAGTGTAAAACGTATGTATCGGGTAGGTATATAGAAACTCCATAGAAGGAACTGTTGTTTTAAGACTTTAAATGCTCAGTTTAGCACCAAGGTGAATGCCTGGCATAATGCCCACTAACAGTTACCAACGAATGGCTTGTAGTTTACTTAATGGCAAGTGAGCCACTAGCCTGCGTGCCGTGGCCTTTTGTCCCTAGCCCGTTTGGTAGAGTCTTTTCTTCTGACTGTTGGGACTGATGCCCGCATGGTAATGATCTGTCCCCACTGTGCGGGGACATTTTCTCATGCGGACATCCTTTTGATGAGGCAGCATGGAAGACAGTGAAGGCCACTTCACTTTCCATTTCAGAAGATGAGTCGCCATGTCCTTAACTCGAGGAAACCTCCTTGGTGACTGCAGTTTCTGGATCTGGAGCCAGAAAACAAGATGAAGACCGACTTAGATTTATTTTGATCTAAGAAGATAGCATCATGTGCTGGACATCCTTCCAGAATATTTTTGAGATAACATCCTGGGTTTGATTTTGTTTGTGGAGTTTAACACCCTTGAGAAGGGTTTGCTGTACCACACTTCCTTCACTTGAGTCAGGAAAACCGATCTGCCCCTGGGGACTAGGCACAGCACATTTACAAAGGTTCAGGCCAAGCACGTGGCGCATGTTCCAGAAAGGGGCTCCTAAGAGACGTCTGGGTCCTTAGGTCCTGCTTAGTTGTCTCCATGAGCACACTCAAAGGAAAGACTGTAGTGTTCTGGTAGAGTCTCCTATGACTCGGTGCTTTTATTCTTTATGGAACTAACAAGTATTAATAGTAATGAGGTTAATGATGCTACAGTATCACACTGCTTGACATTGTAAAGGGATAAAAGTATTTTTAACACTTTGCTATTTTAGTTAACAAGGAGAAGTAGAAAAGATGGTGACTATGGCCATGTCCACGAGCCGGTAAGACAAAGACCCAGTTTATTGTCATTTTAGCATTCATTTTAAATGAAAGTTTAATTTGAGATGTATTTCACGTTTTCGAAAGATTTATTTTTGTTTTTAATTATGGGTGTGTGCACATGAGTTCAGATTTGCATAGGGGCCAGGGACATTGGATTCCTCTGGGGCTGGAGTTACGTTGTAAGCCACTGATGTGGGTGCTGGGAACTGAGTCCAAGAGCAGTGCACACTCTCGATCACAGAGCCATATCTCCAGCACGTATGCATTTGTATGTTACATGAAAGTAAAATGGACTGGAGAGATGGCTCAGAGGTTAAGAGCACTGGCTGCTTTTAGCACTCACAGCATTGCTGAGTTCAGTTCCCGGCAACCACATTGTAGCTCACAACCATCTGTAAGGAGATCTGGTGCCCTCTTCTGACATGTGTGTATATATAATAAATAAATAAATAAATAAATAAATCCTTTAAAAAAGTAAGAAATATTTTTTTCCCATATAGCTTAGGAAAAATGTCTTCATGTTTATAAAAGTAGTGAGCCAAATCCCAACCACTGCTACTGAGTTTGTAGTACTCTATGACCAACAGAAGTTAACCGTCTTGACCCTTTTTTGGAATTTTGAAAATTCCAGTGACAGCTTATTTTGTATTATTTCAATGATTTGTGTGATTGCTCATGGCATATAAACATACAGGGAAACATGTTCCCCAACAATAAAATGTCCTCTCCCAGAGGACCTGGGTTTGGTTTCAGCACCCACATGGTGGCCCACAGCTCCAGGTCTAGGGAATCTGATGCCCTCTTCTGACCTTCGCAAGGGCCAAGCACTCAGGTGATGAACAGTGTGCATGCACACGAAATACTCACACATACAACAAAATACGTCTAAAGAAAGAATATCTTTTTAACACGTACAATCTCAATTTTCTTTCTGTGCAGTGCAGTGGAAGTACTTGGCTGCTTGAAGCCACTCACGTTCTTTTCCTAGTGTGTGTAGAGGCAGAAGGCAGATTCTGAGTACACTGATGTAGGTGGGAGTCATGGGGGTCAGCCCCTATTACACACAGAGCTTAGGACTGCACAGGTCATTTTCTGAGTTTTGCCCAATGTGCAAGGCTGATGTGGATGGATGCCTTCCTCTTTCTCCTGTACCACACAATGACTCCGTCCCCAAGAATTCAGTGGTTCTGAGGCAGGTAGTGCCCTATGTAAGGGATATTTGGGATATATGGGGGGGGGATTTTCCTCCCTTGGGGTGGGGGAAAGGGGCATACCAGATGACTTACCACATGAGGAACAGCCACACAGAACAAACAGTGTCCTGCTAAAGCATCTAGAAACACCTTCTGCAGAAAGATAGACAAGTTGTCATGAGGGTCACTTGTTGTAATGCTCTTGACAGCGTGGTGGGAAGAAACCACCATGCTGGGTAGTGTTGTGCTGTGTTGGTTGCACGGAGAAAAGTTTGCTTCTCCAACATGGCATTTGGAGGTATCAGGTAATTAAGTATATTTACTTGTAGTTGTGGAATATAACATCCTCTTTCTAAAGATAAATTTGCAGACAGTGCTTACTTTTTAAACACTGTATGGACTTTTATACCTGGCAGTGACTGTCATGAATGCTGTTTGCTTTGCCCATCAGAAGACTATTTCTCAGAGAGTGTAAGGCGTGCAGAGTGTAACAACACATGATAATGACAGTTGAACAGAAGTTTACAGAACCGTTTCCTGCATTAGGGCCAGTTGGCAGGCCCGTTTCCTGCCTCCCCACACCCACGCCTGGCTGGATCTCCTGGAGGAGGAGGTGGAATTGTGCTGTCTTGCATCTTTTGCCTGTGATTTACGTTTCTCTGCTTTTCTCCCCTTACTCACTTTCCCATGATATTGAATAATTTCGGAGGGATTTATTTTCTTCTGTGGCAGTTAACACAGGTTAGGGTGGTCTACAGTATAAATAGGGTATGAAATAGGATCCATGCATCTCTGATTTCATTAAGAGAGCTGGCATGCGCTGCACTTCAAAGGCTGTCAGCTGCATTGTTGACTGCGTTACTGTGGGTTGGCAAGAGATGTTGCTCCATAAGAAAATAGCCACCCACCAGCACCAGGAAAAGGCAGCAAACCGTGAAGGAGCTGGCAGAGCCAGAGGGCACAGTGAAGATCAGCATTAACTGTTAAGGGACTAGGGAGCCTTCGGGAAGGAAAGCAACAGGAGTGGAAGGCAAAACAGAATGTCTGTCCCAGTGTCCGTGAGACTTGCTGAAGGCTTAGGCTGTTGTGTTAGAATGAAAGCTGAACGGCCCTGGGTAGTGGGAAAGTTAAATTTTTGGACAATGCATGGAAACAGTGAGAAATACCAAACCGGGGCCAGTATTTTCCTTGGTAAGGAAGGCAAGAGCATGAAGTTGTAGCTGTGTTTATGGCATCCCAGTGTCTGCTACTTAGCACAGGCGGGGCACATGTGACCATTTAGACATAAAAGTGTTCCCACGAGGACTGTTTGACAAAGGGCTTGGAAGGAATGTATGTGTTCTGCCATCATGTTAAAAAAAAAACAATAGCCCATCAGGAGTTTCCTTCTGTTCAACATTAAGATGATTTAAATCTGGTAATTGAGTTTGAGTAGAAGTTTTGTTGTGTTCAAAGTCATTATTTTGTATAACGCGCTTTGAGAATTTAGGTAAAACCCGCTTCTAAAGTGATCTGTCTAAATAAATGGGTGGGAAAGATGGCGTTCAGCCAAGTGTTTTCTTCTTCTGTGCTGAAACCTCACATTTTCCTTTCTCCAAACAGAGGCCAAGCACGGAGGACACAAGAATGGAAGGAGAGGAGGGATTTCCGGAGGCTCCTTCTTCACCTGGTTCATGGTCATTGCACTGCTGGGCGTCTGGACGTCTGTGGCCGTCGTGTGGTTTGACCTCATTGACTATGAGGAAGTTCTAGGTAAGAATTGGGCTACACGATCTCTAGTGAGTTTGCAAGAGGAGAAGTGATAGCCCTTGGTACTCTGCACGGCTTGTTATTACCTCTCTGGTACTACTTCTGGTTGTAGCTTTCCATTAATTCTTGATAAAGTGAAGCAAAAGGGCGCATTGCTAGGGCTGCCCAGGAGTAGTGGCCTTAATTTTGACGATTTCTATGTAGACTCTCTGTGTATTGTGGTATATGGAAGCTTCCATCAAAACATTTTTTCTAGACTCATTTTCACTATTTTCTGTACTTTTTATTTAGACCATGAACTACTTTTTTTAGTGGGCTTGGCTCTGAGATAGCACCTCATTCCGTGGCCCAGGCTTGTCTGCACCCTATAGTGCATCTCCTGCCGTGCCTTCCAGTGTTAGGGTTACAGAAGTGAGCTGCAATGGTGGACTTGCAAAACCTTCCTTTAGCAAGGGTTTACAAGCACACATGCCACGTCTGTTGAGACCGGAGTGTGTGTGCACATGGATGCATGGGTGCTCAGGAAGCTGTGCTGCTGGTCCTGTGTGCAGCTGGGGCACCTCTGGGCTCTTCAGGGAAGTCCTGGGGGTACTTCCAATAGTGTCTCACCTTCTGCTTTTCCCCTTTTCTTCACATAATCACTAAAGTTTTTATTTATGTACCTCTGTGGGTGTACTCCATGTGTGTGCGGGGGTACCCACAGAGGTCAGAATTGGGCAATGGATCCCTTAGAGTTGGATTTATGGGTGGTTATGAGCTCCCAATCTGGTTGCATAGAAGTGAACTTGGCTTTTCTGAAACAGCAGAAAGCGCTGTTAGACACTGAGCCATCTCTCTAGCCACACTGAAATTTAAAAAAATGATTTGTCTTATATGAACCATTTTTTGTTTTATCTTTTTTTTTGAAAATGGGGAGAAATGATGTAAGTTATATATCGCAAACATTTGAAAATCTACAGTTCATTTTTTAATATATCCATCATTTTGCGCCATCATCATCTAATTTTAGAATGTGCCTATTACCCAGTCTTCCCCAGACATTCACTCCTCCCTCACCATTTTGACTTTCTGGGATTATTTTTGGGTGTTCTGAGGATAGCATATACATGCGTGTGGCCTTTTGAGTTGCCCCACCTATGCTTGGCATCATTCTATGTGTAAGGTTCAGAGTAAAGCTCGATTATGCATATGTACCACACTCTGCTTATCTAGTCGTCATTGGTGAATACCATTTGTTTTTCACTTTTGGCAATTATAAAGTATGGCCCCCCCTCTTTAATAATGCGGTTAAGGACATGGGCTGGTCGGTAAGAATAATACACATTTGTTACTGTTGTGTCGAAGACCCACCCGCTGCCATGACACCCCTCGTGCCTGTCATAGGTCGCTGCCCTCTTCCTTAGGGGAGAGGAGACCAGTGGTTAACACAGAATACTCACGTATGATCTGTCACTCACTGATGGTTTTCTCTCTTACTACCTTAAGGGACGTGTCTCCAAAGAGATGAATAAATGTAAAGAATTTTAGCTTGGCATAAGCAAAAACTGTGACTTTGTTAACGTACAGTGCTGTGTTGCAGGGTAATGTGTGTACCTTTAATGATAAATAACTTCTTCGTGTTTTTGCACGCATGCAGCCAAAGCAAAGGACTTCCGTTATAACTTATCAGAGGTACTTCAAGGTAGGCTCTCGGAGATGCATTTTAAGTGTACTGCATCTGTCTCTCAGACCTCATCCTTACTCTATTCATTTAGACATCTACATCAAAACTGTGAGTCGCAGGACCAGCCCCCCTTGGAAGGCTCTCAGGAAGGGTGTGCCTTTCTGTTTTTACAATGGTATTAAAGTACTTTATGACTTCCAGGCTGTTACTTTCATTTTCTCAGCAGAAAGATAATGTCTTCATCCCACATTCTTATGGTTTTCTTGTGTGTGTGTACCGAGCAGACTTTTGCATAGCAAAACCGGAGCCACGGTCCTGGGAATTTTTGTTCTGTACCAAAATTCCTGTCTGTCCCTAGATAATCCTTTAATGTACTTTGAATTAAAGGACTGGAATCAGTATTTATTGCCAGCTGTTTTTCATAAGAATGCTATAGTTTTGCTTTTTAAAATACCGCTGTGTACTATGTTTTTTCCCATAGGCTTTGTCCAATACTCAATTATAAACTGTGTTGATTTTGGAATACTTTCTTAGGGTCTGGACTGTAGTAGCATTTGAAATGCTAAGCCTTACAGATAGCTCCCTGGAAGCGCTGGCAGAGCGCATCAGTGTTGAGCAAGGCCGAGTGTTCTCCCTTCTCACCGTTTCTCTTGTAAGCTTTCCCTCTTTTCCCTTAAGTAATGGATGCCCAGTGTCCAGGATATTTTTAAGTGGGTGACCATCCATTTTTCCCTTGTCATTTCAGGAAGCCTCCAGTTTTATATGCTTTACTTTTGGGACAGGCCCACCCCCTTTAGCTGATGCATGCTTCTTTGTTGTAATCTGTTATTAAGGATCAAACAATTAATTCTTTACTGGGTAAAGTACTTATTCTCTCTGTTGATTTGTTTATATTTGCTCTTTATTTGAAGCTTAGGTTGCATTCATTGTTGATCGTTAAGTGATGTTTTACATCTTAGACACATCATATTATATGCGATTGTTCGACTGTTAGAGATGGGTCCATTTTTTAATATATGTGCCAATTTTGATGTAAAATGTTGAAGAGAATAGTCAAATAATTGTGAAGTGATAGGATCAGAATATTCCCAGATCTTTGAGAAAATATCCTGTCCCTCGTATGTTAGAATCCATTAGCCGCACCCTTCTTGAATCTGTAGGTGATGCACTTGTGAGTTTCTTACGTTTCTGCTTTGCAGGAGTAAAAGGAGGGGAAAAAGTAGCACTTAGGGTGTCTAGCAACAGTGAGAGATGGTTCATTATTTAATTTGTTTTCTCTTTTTTCCTGTGTCTATCATTTCTCTCCTGCTGTAGGAAAACTGGGAGTCTATGATGCCGACGGTGATGGAGACTTTGATGTGGGTGATGCCAAGGTTTTGCTAGGTAAGCACATTGCTTTCTTCCTTTTCGTTAGAAGGCTTAGAGACCGGAGTCAAAAGAATATCTTTACTATTCCTTAATGTTAGATTTACTAATTACATATAGTAGAGTATAACAATTAACTTATTATAACTGATAATTATCCGCAGCAACTGTAAGCGTTTTATGGAAGTTATTTTTCAACCGAGTATTTCATTTTCTTGATATACTAAATGACCACTCCTCCATTTTGACTTTTCAAATTGCTTTGGTCAGTAAGTGAGCATGTAGTTAGTTCTTACACATCAGTTTTTAATAATGATAGCTCCACTGTGTTTCAGATTTAAACATTTCATAGTTTGAACTTGATGTTCAGAGGCACAGATAATGTCCTCACATGCTTTCAAAGGAGGAACAACCTTTTAAAAGCATCATTTAGTATAATTTATTCTGACTTCATGATGTAAATTTCTCCATGCAGATACAGGTTAGGGCCAGCTCTGCTTAGCCTTCATAATAAGACCAGATCAGGGCAGCATGCTCAGTGTAATAGAACCACAGATAAAAATGTGCATTTCAGAAGGCTGACAGAAGCTCATTTTTGAAATAAAACCATGACAGTAAATGTCTTTATTGTCTTATTTGTCTATAACATTTTACATTAATAAAATATGAACTAGTGGTCTTTAATCACGTTTCCTTTTTTTGGTAGTCATGGGCTCCTCTCTGTCTTTGTAATTACATTACTAGCCAGGTGTTTCTTAAAGATTGGTATTTCCTCATTGTTTTAAAATAGTGTCTTAGTAGAAAGGATAGTGCTGATTCGAATATGCAGATTTTGTGTAATGTAGCCTGTTATTTCTGGTTTTAAGCAGCTCATTTCCCTTTTCTGAGTATGAAACAATATGTACTAAAGTGTAGTAAGGAGCTGCGGGCAGGCCTGCTTTTCACCTCACCCGGCTCCCGCACGGCTAGCTTAGTCCCAGAAATAACAACACACAAATTGTATTCATTTAAGCACTGCCTGGCCCATTATCTCTAGAGAGTTAGTTACTGACTAACTTTCATATCTTGATATTAACCCATTTCTAATAATCTCGTGGTAGCACCACGAGGTAGTGGCTTACCGGAAAAGATTCAGCATGTCTGACCTGGTGGCTGGCTCCATGGCGTCTGCCTCATTGCCCTCTTCCCAGCATTCTGTTCTGTTTACTCCACCTACCTAATTTTCTGTCCTATCAAGGGGCCAAGGCAGTCTCTTTATTGACCAATGAAAATAACACAATAGACAGATAACCCTCCTCCATCACTAAAAGCTTCATATACAATTATTTAGCAAGACGGTAGCTGTGGCCTGCTATTGCCTGTGCACTGAGCTTCCCAGTCTGCTAGATAAACTGGCCTGTGAGTTTATGCCCTTAAATAGAAAGATGCTGTAGCGGTTAAGCAGCTTTGCACAGTTAGACGTCACTGCCTTCTAAAACAACTCTGGGCATGAAAGTTTTAGTTACGGTCAGCCATACTGCAGCTTGTCACTCAGGCCTCCCTGCTGTGTGTGCTTCATGCACAGCGGAGTTAGCGTTTGCTACTTTCCGTGGTACATCCACCGGACGGCTTTCATGATATCTCTTAACTTAGTGGTTTTCTTGCCGTAATTTCATCATTTTATGTCTAAGTCAGAGTTTCAGTACATACATTAAATTCTCAGACCACTGTAGTTTTAGGCTTGGGAAAGAAATAAAATCATGCACAATGTAATATGTTAGGGTGATGGTATTTTCTTTGCCCTAAGTGGTCTCATTGGTCCAAGATACTACTTTAAATGAAGTCTGAATTGTGAAGCTTTTAAAGGCTAATGTCATATGAGCCCTGTTGTATTATTTTCTCTTTTTAGTATTGGTAACTTTAGTGTGTTTTGTATTTTAAACTGTAGTATATAAAATTGCATATAAATACACACACACACACACACACACACACACACACACACTGAAATTATAGCCCCAAAGTCTATACTGTCTCAGTGAGCATCTGTACAGTTAAGATAGTCATTTAGAATAGAATAGAAATAGAATAGAATAGTAGCTACACATGGGATTTTACACTTTCAAAATTGGCTATACTTTGTGTACTTAGCCACCACCCAAAATGAAAAATCCGTAACGGAGTTATAAGTAGAAAATCTGCTTGGTTTGGATTCTAAGATATTCGGAGGGTTTTTTTTTTCCCCCCACTTTAAGATGTTAGTTAACTTTAACTCTGAGAATAGCTGTTTGCAGGTCGACAGACATGCTGTGAGCAGCTCTGTTCCTTTCATTAGGCTTGTGTGTCAGGAGGTAGATCGGGAGCGGGGTGGGGGACCACCTGCTGAAGCTGTTCTATGTACAGGTCTCCGTTCCTACTTAGCTTATGACTTTAATACAGATGAGCTGCCAGGCCCTTTGCACCTATCACCACCCAGTGCTAGGTGGTTATTCTCTGCCCCAGAACAACTTTTGCTCTGCTTGGTTTGGATGATGTGGGTTCTTTTCTCACACACGGGGGAACTGAAGCTCAGCTGTGCCTTAGGTACTTGCAGGTGTCTGCAGAGACGAACCCTGGTCCAGGGTGGTGCTGCTCTGTGTGACGGGGGGGGGGCAGTTAGAGAGCACGTACCCCTAAGAAGTCAGCCCCTGCTTCCCTTCATGTTTGCGTGTTACCTTGGTCCCTAAGGGTACAGTTAGATTAAGGCAGGAAAGCAAGGTTAGGGAGGGAGGGAGGGGAACAGGGATTACAGAGAGGCACAGAAATGGATGTGTTAAACTACCACCATCTTGGCGTTGATTTCATTTCCCCCACCTCCATTTGAAGTCTAAATCTAAACCATACTAATCTGTGGAAAGTCTACATACATGTTGCTTTCCTTTGACATTTTAATCCCCCTCCCCGCCCCATGAATTATTAATATAAAGGCATGAGTAAATCAAGACCAATAGCTGTTACTGATTTTGCTAATTCTAAATCTCCTGGCACACTTTGCAAAGGTCCAGATCCTGCCCTTGGATCTAGAATATCCCATTGTTGAGGCCAAATTGTTCAAAATGCAGGTGATTTGGGTTTCAGTTTGCTAATGAAATCTACATGCACATATATGTGCAATGACAATTATAAAGAGGCAATGAATTTGAAAGACAGCAAGGAGGCGGAGCAGCAATGGGAGGGCTTGGAGGGAAGACAGAGAAGGGAAAAATGGAAAAATAATGTAGTTGTATCTTAATCTCAAAAAAAAAAAAAAGGAAAAAGAATGTTTCTCACATACTGCCAGTAGGATATAGTCCCAGGACTCAGTGCTGAAAGTACTTTCTATAGTAGCCTCATCCAAGGGTGCACACGGGCCCCTTCGTCCTACAGCTAGCACCTAGGTGACCCTTATCAGGGCTGGTGCAGTGCTAAGGCGATGCAGCCAGCTGCTTATGTACGTGTGCTAATGGAACTCATCTAGCATGAAATGCACACTCACCGTGTGTGTGTGTGTAGAGTGGTGTGACCCTTAGGTTCTGAGGAATTACATGCTCAGAATCGCATTTCTCTCCAGACCAGTATTCCTGTTCTAAGATGCCAGTACAGAGGCAGAGCTGTAGTTGATGAGTTGGTCGGAAAACCTCATACACAAACCTGAGGGCCTGAGTGTGGATCCTTCAGGTGCAGAAGCGCATTTCTCATCAGGATACGGAGACAGGAAAATCCCTCGGGACTGTCTGGCTCCTCTAGCCAGATTGGTGGTCTCCTTGTTTAGTGGGAGACCCTGTGGTGAGTCAGTCTGAACCTGTCTGGACTCCCACTTCCAATGTGAAATCACGGTGAACCTCAAGGCCTCCTGGGCTCAGTACTGGGGCATGAAGAAGATGCTTGACATCAGCTTCTGACCACCACATGTATGCCCAGAGAAGTGTGTGCATGCACACACACACACACACACACACACACATACATAACTCCAGGCTGTTTGGGTCACTGTCCAAATATTTGTTACTCGGTTCCACTTGCCATACAGAAGCACAGAGATGCAGTAATGTGAAACACTTAGAGTACATGGGAAGAGCAAAGAAAACCAAGGTTCTCTTAATATACAGTGGTGGGATTTAAGTTGGGGAGAAGATTCATTCTCACAGTTCTTGGTGGAAATGCAGATCTTTGCTCATAGCATTAGGAGGCTTAAGCTCAACGAAAAGTGCCTGGAGTTTGTCAAAGAATCAATAAATACCAACTGCAACTGTGTTAGCCCCCCTCCCACGCCCCCTCGCACACACGCTAACATGGAGACTTCCAGGATCCAGTTCTGCTGGCAGTGCAGAGACGTTCACTGGGCTCTTCCTGACGGCAGCTAGCCAGCATTCTGCTGTCTCTTGTGTGCCCGTCCAGGTGGTAGTTGTGCTATACGGAGAAGCTGTTGTAAAGCCTGGCCGAGCAGTCTTTGGCTACAGAGGGACAGGCTCCCAGGTCCTGAGTTTCATACTCTTCCTGTTGTATCTGCCATCTGCTTTTCTTCCTCAAACTGCTGGGTTGTTCAGTGTGCTGTGCACGGATTTGATATCTCCAGGGTCTTCCCCCAGTCATTTCCCCACTGGAGAAAACCACGAGGATTTACATCTGGATTTCTTCGACTCAGGGGGCCCTGCAGGGCTTAGAAAACTGCAGACATCAAGAGTCTTTGCTCTCAAGGCCGAGGGGAAGAGGAGTTAGGGACGTCTCTGCTCAGCTGGCATAGGCAGGAGGCGAGGATTATCAGCAGCTGGTTCTAACTACTGAGCAAATTTACAGAGCCTTTGGCTCAGCTGGAGGAGTGTTACACCACTCACCAATTTAGGTGTTCGACATAAATTCCACACTTGAGTGTCTGGGTGCCCAGCTGAGACGCTGTGGACCGTAATCCTGGTGGCTTGCTTGCCCCGAGCATCCCCAGTTTACTCCAAGACGGACGATCATTGCTGAGCAATTTGGAGGATTGTTCTCCGATGTCACTTCTGTTCATTCTTCCTGACACTGTCTGCAGAGTTTGGTGGCACATGTTGCCAGTTTTCCCGCCCAAGATTCTGGTGGGAAAGAGGCCAAACTGCCGAGGAGCTGGGAGGAGCATGGGTTGGTGGGTGGGTGGAGACTTGGTTTGGAGACATGCTTCTCAATTGATTTCTTTATTTTCTATGTTACCTTTCTGTAGATCTGTGACCGCAATGCACCTCCCTTTTAAGATCGCTCTGCCTAAGCTCAGCTTTTTTTCCACCTAACTGCTCTCCCTGTTTTCTCTTTCCTTCTCCCTTTATTCTTATGTAGGCCTGACCAAAGATGGCAGTAATGAAAATATTGATTCTCTTGAGGAAGTCCTTAATATTTTAGCCGAGGAGAGTTCAGATTGGTTTTATGGTTTCCTCTCCTTTCTCTATGATGTAATGACTCCCTTTGAGATGCTAGACGAAGAAGAAGAAGAGGAGGAGAGCAAGGCGGCAGATGGTGTTGATGGTACGTCGCAGAGCGAAGGGGTTCAGGGAAAGACCTGTGTCATTTTGGATTTGCATAACCAGTAACTTTGGTTCAGGGACACGAGTCCCCGGGTTGTAAAGTGGAGCAGCCCCCTCCTCCCTCTTCGCTTATGCAGGGCTCAACGTGCGGCGGGGCAGTTGTGACTTTGTGATACATGTCAACCATGTGCTCCTGCCCAGTGCAGCCACTTAGCTAGTCCCTCGCTTGGCTCCCTCCACGCCTAGAAAGGAAGTGGCGTTCCTCACCCCAGACTGTTCACGAAGTGCACTGGAAACGTTGTTCTTGGTTGTGTAATTGGTTTCTGTATCATTTTGTTTCAACTTATGTATTCACTAACCTCACCTGGAAATTGTGTTGTATTTAACCCTTGACGCTTTGTCTTTCTAACACTCAATGACAACTCTAAAGGGAGTGATTCTAAAGCTCTTCCTGGCATGACTAATACATTCCACGCTTCCTGTTGATCTTTAACTGGCCTGCTGTGTAGTGATGGCTTTCTAAGAAGCTGGTATCTTTTAATCTGTAATTTGTTCAGGTTAATTGACTTGTGATAAAAGTTCCTACAAACTTATTAAAGTTCTGTATTAATGGTGCTTTTGATATCATTTGAAAATAACCCCATGTTTTTGCCTAAGGCTAGTGAAGATTCTGGATTT